AGCGCCGCGCCGGGCGCCGGTGCGGCGGGGGGGGGGGGGGGGAATCGGCGGGATACTCCCCCCACACACAAGTAGCGTGGATCCTGCTTCATTTAATCTAAATCAGATGCCAAGAGTCCTTTTTGAAGAATTGTGAACCCAGATAGACCTCTCACAGAGGCAGAGACCTCTCACAGAGGCAAGGCAACCCATAGGGCTTTCAAGGCAAGAGACATTCAGAGATGGTTTTCCGTTGCCTGCCTCTGCATAGTTACCCTGGTATTCCTTGGCGGTCTCACATCTCAATACTAACCAGGGCCTATCACTTCTTGGCCTTTTGGCTAAGATCAAATGTAAACACCAACCAGGGCCAACACTGCTTAGCTTCAGAGAGCTGATGAGATCGGGTTAGCCTGGGCCACCTGGATCAGGGCACTCATGAAATAAGTATTCAGCTGAGGGCTGCTGACTGTCCTGGAGAAAAACGGACCTGTCCCTTTAACAGAGGCTTAGTGAAATGTTATTTCCTTCACACCATGAAAAGCTTCAAATGCCCATTCCCATGCACACTTCTATATCATTATTATAGTTGTTGTTGTCATCATATGGCACTGTGTGTGGTATAGCCAAGAGATCCTAAGATTGTCTGGCAGCCTTAAGTTCTAACTCTTTTAACGTTATGCACCACTAGGTGGCGAGCTAGACTTATTTTTTTGGGCTGAGCTCTGAAAGAGCTGTGACTGACCCCTGGTCACCTAGCTGCATTATGTAATCTGCCCCGAGTCTCAGTGAGAAAGGTTGACTATAATTCACATCAATAAATAATAAAGGTCAGTGTTATTATCTCCATGCAGCAGATGGGTTGAGGCAGAAGGTGAGATTCTCTCCCCTAGCTCCAATGGCTCTGAGCAAGGCACGGCCACTCTGCTTTAGATCCCCACCAGTACACTGGAACATCTGCCTCTGTACACGTTATCTGGGATTAAGCTCCACTGAATATGGCAGAGATTGTTTCTCAGCAAATTCACAAGACTGAGGCTGCAGGAAGTACACTCAGTGGTGCTTGTTTGTGAATCGGGGCAGGGATGAAAGATGACACTGTAAATCACAGGCAGACTAAATACTTCCATGAGACTGCCGGCGGGTTGTTCTTCTGTTGTATGAACTCTTGCAGCTTGGGATGCTTTTCCGCCTCCTTGTAATGAAGAGTCCAGCTGTTGCTTAGGAGACGGCATTGGCAGTCTGTCAGTTTCCCAGACAAGTCTGCATGTTCTGACTCCAGATTTGCAAACAAATTACCTTTTATCATCTTCCTCTCATTTTTTTTCTGAGTTAAGCCACACTAACACACTAACACATCCTCACCCTCCCATGCGCATTTGTACCGTTTTCTCTTTCATCCACTTTCTTTGTAAAAGTCTGCTCCAAAAGATTTCAAAAAGAGCTGCACCATCTGAACTACGTACCTTTGAGCATAATCCTCTTGGAATATCTCCTGAGTAAGCCCCAAGGAATAAGCATTTTGTTAAGAAGACAGCAGTACCTTTCTCACTATTAACCTTCCTAATAAGCTCTTTGGGGGGGGGGGGAGCAAGAAAAGGACTTGGGAGCAATTCTTACCCAGCAGTAAATCCCATTTTTTTTCAATGGGGTTTAATACCAAGAAAGTGTATTTCCCGTCAAGACTAGGATCTAGGAGAACCGGGTTCAAATCCCCACTCGGCCATGGAAGCTCGCTGGGTGACCTTGGGCCAGTCACACATTCTCAGGCCAATGGAGCTCACCGGGTTTTTATGAGGATAAAATGCAGGAGAGAACAATGTAAAGCCACTTTGGGTGCCCACTGTGGAGAAAGGCAGAGGAGAAATGAACTTAAAAGAAATACTTAGGATTGAAATCATCTCTTGAGTAAGAGAGTCTTAGGGCCAAACGACACAATACATCTTCCTCAGGCTTGCCACGGGGCCAGACAGCCGAGGATAGCGGCAAGGGAACAATCGCCGCAGGGGGCTGATTCTGCTCAGTCCTGCAGTGCAAGGGAGGGAAGGGCTCCTCCCTTCCCCTGGGCTGTTTTTCCTGACCCAAAATAACACCAAAGGCATTATTTGCCCTGCCGGTGGGCTTCACAGGCAAGAACGTAGTGGGCTTCATGTGCAAGAATGCATCCCTCCCCCCAGCCAGGCAACTAATGCCCTCCACAGCACCATTTTGGGCCAGGAAATTAGCAGGGGTGGGGCACAAGCACGAGCACCACCTCCCTTCCGTGTCACAGCCCCAACTGGAATCAACCCCCCGTGGCAATTCTAAACGGCGTCCCTTTGGGGAACTCGCACCTATGGCTACAAGTCCCTGTGGCAACCCTGTGGAAGACATAACATGTAGTTTGGCTCCAAGACTGTCTTATTCAAGAAATAAACTATAGCTGCAATCCTAAATACATGTTGGCCCTTAGACACATGACTTACATGAATCTGCCTTCTACTGAATCAGACCCTCAGTCCATCAAAGTCATTACTGTCTACACAGACTGGCAGTGGCTCTCCAGGGTCTCAGGCTGAGGTCTTGCACATCACCTCCGACCTGGTCCTTTATTAACCAGAGATGCTGCCAAGGCCTGAACCTGGGACCTTCTACATACAAAGCAGGGGATCTTCCATTGAGCCAGGGCCCATCTTTGACACGGGCGCTGCTTCCCTGTGGTGGTGGTGGTGAAGGAGGAGGAAGAAGAGGAAGAACAGTTGGATTTATACCCCACCCTCCACACAGAGTCTCAGAATGGCTTACACTTGCCTTCCCTTCCTCTCCCCACAACAGACACCCTGTGTAGGTGGGGCTGAGAGAGCTCTCTCGAAAACTGCCTTTGAGAGAACAGCTCTGAGAGTGACCCAAAATCACCCAGCAGGCTGCATGTGGAGGAATCAAACCCAGTTCTCCAGATTAGAGTCTGCTGCTCCTAACTACTACACCAAAGCACTACACGAATCCTGCATGACTGTGTATGAATGATGCTATAAAGCATAACCCAGTTTTTTCAGACTAAGTTTTGAAACGCCAAACATCTACGGACAAAGCTAAAAAAGACAAATATTCCATTTTACGAAAACTGCCTTGCGGCGGAGTTTATTGACATGGAATAGGGCTTTGCTCATTTGTCCATAAATCTGGAACACAGAAAAACTAAAACACTTCTTTGCCGAGTGCGTGTTTACTGCCAAGGCAGCCCAGGGCCGTGGGTCAAACACCGTAACCCTAATAACTGGCAACTGGGCAGGGCACCCTGCAGTACGGGAACTGGTTGCTTGCTGACCACAGTCCTTCATGCCTGTCCAACAACAACAGAAACAAAGCAACAACACAGGATTTCACACTTCCCCAACTCCTTTCCTTTTTACCAATATGGCACCAGTCTTTCCAGAATGATTTGCATTCACTCTGGTTAAAGGCTAATGCCCCAACTCTTTAAGGAAGACAGTGCGCCATGGTTGGGGTTTTTTTTGCCATGCGGCTTTCTGGTAGCAAACACAATGCCCTCCTGCATCTCAAGTCATATTTCCATAGGAAAGACATCCATGATTCCACTGGGAAATGCCAGCACAGCAAGGCGAGGTCCAGACGCCCGACTAGGCAGGTCCAAGAAATGCTGTCGTGGGCCTCAGCACATCAGGAGCCCTTCCTTTGCCGCCAAGCGCTGCCGGTGGATTTTGTCTTGCTGCAGCTCTTCGTGGTTCGGGTGCCAGAGCTTCAAGATGATTCTTTCAATATTGAGAGCATAGATGGTGTGAGCAGGGATCACTTCTCGGTGGATCTACAGGTGGCGCACACATGGAGAAAACCTTGTTAGCAACAGATCTGGGGCTTAAAAAATCCCCAATTCTCCAAGCAAACCCAACATCTCCATGCTTAATGCTTTACCTCTTATGCTTCCTCATCTTCTGTTGTGCTAGTGGGCAATAAAGCTTTGCAAGAAGCAGTGTCAGCGTTGAGAAGGAGGGAAGAAGAAGAAGAAGAAGAAGAAGAAGAAGAAGGAGAAGAAGGAAGGAGAAGAAGGAAGGAGAAGGAGAAGGAGAAGGAGAAGGAGAAGGAAAAGAAGGAAGAAGGAAGGAGAAGGAGAAGAAGAAGAAAAAGAGGGAAGAAGAAGAGGGAAGAAGAGGAAGGAAGGAGAAGGAGAAGGAGAAGGAGAAGAAGAAGAAGAAGAAGAAGAAGAAGAAGAAGAAGAAGAAGGAAGGAGAAGAAGAAGAAGGAAGGAGAAGAAGGAAAAGAAGGAGAAGAAGGAGAAGAAGGAAGAAGAAGAAGAGGGAAGAAGAAGAGGGAAGAAGGAAGGAGAAGGAGAAGAAGAAGGAAGAAGAAGAAGAGGGAAGAAGAAGGAAGAAGGAAGGAGAAGGAGAAGAAGAAGAAGAAGGAGAAGAAGGAGAAGAAGAAGAAGAAGAAGAAGAAGAAGAAGAAGAAGAGGAGGAGGAGATTGGATTTATACCCTGCCCTTCACTCAGAGTCTCAGAGGGGCTCACAATCTGCTTCCCTTCCTCCCCCCACAACAGACACCCTGTGAGGTAGGTGGGGCTGAGAGAGAGCGCTGAGAGAACTGCTCTTGAGAGAACAGCTCTGAGAGAACTTGTGACTGACCCAAAGTCACCCAGCTGGCTGCATGTGAAGGCGTGGGGAATCAAACTCGGTTCTCCCAGATTAGAGTCTGTGCTCTTAACCACTACTCCAAACTGACTCTGAGAAAAAGGAGGCTACCCTGGTTGCCATGGCTACCAAAGTGATGCTCCCTGGCTCTCGTCAGCCAACTCCAGGTTGCTATAGTAACCCAGACTGAGGCCTCACTGCTGCTCTGAGGAAACACTTCCTGGCTCACCCACACAGCCCCCAATCAGGAATCTTCCCCTGATCTCTCCCAGCTGGAGTGGGGTGTTGTGTCACCCCCCTCCCCCAGCACAGAGACAGGGGGGACAGAGACATCTTGCATCAAGAATGGTGTGGGAAGAGACGGAGTAAACAGCTAGTTGGGGATGGGGCTACGTGTGTGAGAATTAGTGGGCCATCATGCTTTGCATGTAATAGGATGTTTTTAAACCACGTTTCCAATATCTGGCTCTTGGTCTTTCCTCTGGATTAAAACTGGAGGCGAACTTTGCTCTTAATTCTCAAGAAGTCAGCACTCAGGATGAAGTCAGGCATCTACCCTGCAACAGTGGGGTGCCTCAGGTGATACTCCGTCTCCCAGCATCCCATCTCCCCCTCTGCCTAGTCCACAGTAAGGATTCAGGGATGGCATCATGTTTCCCAGGATCCCTCCACACCTCTCAACCACAGCATAGTCTGAGTCAGGGTATCCCATTCCCTTCTCCTTATAGAAAAGTGTGTGTGTGTGGGGGGGGATCAATGGTGTACAAGACCCCTCCACGCTGAAGGGCACAGAGCGCTTGGAGGCACCCAGCTGCAGAGACATCATTTTCCAAGGGAGACTTCCACCCCTCTCAGGGTACTTGGCTTTGCAAAAAACCACACCAGGCACAAGACTCTGCGTCCCCGACCCATGCTCAGAATTCACAGGAAAAAGGCAGGTTCATTTGTCAAAACCTACACGATCTGAAGTGCATGCAGTGGAGAAAGAGCCTGCTTTCCTGGACTTACGGGGCTTGTGGCAGGAAATCAATCCGCCCTGAGCCCACTTTGGGGAAGGCGGGATATAAATCGAACGATAAATAAATAAAATAAAAATTAACCTGCCTGTCAAACTTAGATCTAAAAGAAGGAGCTTGGTTAACAGGCACGCAATGATGGGGGGAAAAGAGGAAGAGGTAGACGATTTTCCATGGAGGTCGTTCAGACTGGGTTCTTTGCTAGAAGACACCTCCCTCCAGGAGAACCTAGTCAGGGGGACAGAGAAATTACCTGCAACGCCTCAAAGAGGTCATACATATTGACAGGTGGCAGAGAGGCTGGTGCGGTATCTCCGGAACAGGCCAGGAGGAGGGCGGCCTGCTGCTCAGCATCATCAGGAGGAGGGTGGGATGCCAGGTTCTGACCAGGAGGAGGCGCTAAGCAGGTTGGAGGGCTAGAAAGAGAAAGATGAGGAATTGGGGGGGGGGGATGACCCAACAATAAAAATTAATCTGCCTGTCAAACTTAGAGCTAAAACAGGAGCTTGGTAAACGGGCACGCAATGATGGGGAAAAAAGAGGAGGAGGTAGACGATTTTCCATGGAGGTCGTTCAGACTGGGTTCTTTGCTAGAAGACACCTCCCTCCAGGAGAAGCTAGTCAGGAGGGACAGAGAAATTACCTGCAACGCCTCAAAGAGGTCATACATATTGACAGGTGGCAGAGAGGATGGTGCGGCATGTCCGGAACAGGCCAGGAGGAGGGCGGCCTGCTGCTCAGCATCATCAGGAGGAGGGTGGGAAGCCAGGTTCTGACCAGGAGGAGGCGCTAAGCAGGTTGGAGGGCTAGAAAGAGAAAGGATGAGGAATGGGGGGGGGGGATGACCCAACATTACATTTTGGAAAGGCAGATGTGCAAGTCTGACTCTTCCCCCTCAAGGGCTGATTTGGGCTTTGCCCACATTCTAGAAGCGTGCATTTATAATTCAAAGCCTTTATAAAGACAGGATTTTGTCTGAACCCGTTCCAAACCACTGAGTGACAAATTCATCACCTAGCCATTTAAGTCCCCTGTAATTATCCAGGGCCCATTTACCCAACCTAATTTCCTACGAGGAGATAATTGCAATTACAGCCTGAAAGCTTGGCTTTAGGAGGCGGGTCATTACAGATTAAGCTTCTATCTGCCACTGATTAGCTGTTAAATGAGAAGCAAGATGAGAGTTTTACTGACAACTATTTTACCTAACGCTGCAACCTGCCCTGCCACTACTAGCAGTGAGGAAAGAAAGTGTCAGTGCACTGGACAAAGCCCTGTGGTAGTTTTTCCTCTACTTCTGGAGAAAAGGCAGAGGACTAACCCTTCTCTGAGAAGCACCAGACCGGCATGCCAAAGCTGTCGCAAACCAAAACCTTAAATATGACTCGCCTCTAAGTGCCTAAGTATACAGTACTTCAAACTAGCAGGTGTCTGAAATTCCATCCCCTGCTGTGGCCCAAATGAGGAATTTCCTCACCATTCGGTCAAATTGTTGTAAGCGACGACACTGTTCTTCAGGTAAGGCTGAGGATTGACGTTGCTTCCAAAGGCATACTTGAAGTGACCGTCCCTCAAGCGGTAGGCCTTCCTCCTGGATATTACTGACGCAAGGATATCCTTGAGATGCTTCTGTAGAGACAAAGCCAAACACCACAGCGTGAGGGCAAAAATGAACAGCAGGGGCTTGTGGGTAGATAGGGAGGGTCAAAACAGACATGCTGGGCACTGAAATTCCAACCACTGGACACCAAGGGCCAACCAAGATGTAATGGGGAAAGCCATGTTTGGTTATTCACATGTCTGTCCCAATTGTGCACAAAGCAGAGGGGAAACAGCCTAAAATTACAGAGGCTTATAGGTGAAGGTAGATAACCCTCCCCCTTCTCGCTTCCTGCTTTGAGACCAGGCTGGGGGGGAAAGGTTCCTGAAGCAAGGGACAGAAAGGAGAAGAAAAGACAAGTGGGTCTGGATTTGTTGGTACAAAAACTAGGCCCTTTGCCCTCCACATCTGATGTGAACACAGCAGATATCTGAACAGCAGACTTAGATGCTTCTTTCACATATAGGCTGGTCCTGCATTTCCCAGATACCTGACACAAACCAGGGCCCTCGGTGGGTGCCCACGCAAAGATGCCCACCATCCCAGGAGTCTGGTATTTTCCCAGGAGTCTGAGCAAAGCTCCTGGGGAAGGAAAACAGAAAGGACTGGAGCAATCCCTGGAGAGTCTGGGTATGCGTGGAAGCCCTGCAGACCATCCTATCTGCAGACATGCAAGCACCGACTCCTATCCTAAACTTGCCTTCTTTAAAAACAAATATCCCCTTACCACTCTCCCCCTCCCCTTCAGATTTTCAGGAATTCAAGCCTTTGCATCAGAATCAGGCTCCGGTTTGTTTTACTTTGCAAAGCACCATATTAGGTCCTTTATGAACAACAACAGACACCCGCAAATCACAAAGCTTTGTGAGAAGATCTGCAAAAAGAAAACATAAAAAAAGGGAACGTCCCGTTTTGACCGTGCACTGGGAAAATAAACATTAATATCACACACCCAGAGGGTGTGCTCTGTGACATGGTGTCTGTTCTGCTCCTCTTTCTGAAGAAGAAGAACACGAAGAAGAGGAGGAGGAGGAGATTGGATTTATACCCCGCCCTTCACTACCCAAAGGTGTCTCAGAGCGGCTTACAAACTCCTTTCCTTACCCCTCCCCACAACAGACACCCTGTGAGGTAGGTGGGGCTGAGAGAGCTCTTTCGAGAACTGCTCTTTTTCAAGGACAGCTCTTATCAGAACTACGGCTTGCCCAAGGCCATCCAGCCAGGTGCAAGTGGAGGAGTGGGGAATCAAACCCGGTTCTCCCAGATTAGAGTCCGCGCACTTAACCACTACACCAAACTGGGTTGCAGCCCAGAGGTTGTCTCTCTCGCTCCACACAGCACAACGTTGGAGTCCCATGGGGCACCTCTGAGACCAACGATTTTTTATTTAAGGTAAGAGCTTTCGTGTGCAAGGGACACTTCCTCAGATACACGCATTTCAAGGCACGCACAGGAAAGCTCCTACCTGGAATGCAACTTGGTTGGTCTTAAAGGTGCCCCACGGGACTCAAACTTTGTTCTCCTGCTTCAGACCAACACGGCTGCCCTACCTGGATCGATCCACCCAGCACAGTGAGTGGTTTGGTGGTTTCTTTGCCTGCAGCGCTATCAGAGCCGCACACACAATAGCCCCTCTTCTGGCTCCCTCACCTCCACAGCATAGACGACGACCGTCACCGCCTCTTCCGTGACGTTATCCAGGCCGTGCTCAAAAGCTGTGACGATCATCCGTCCCTCCAGCTGGCCCCAAGTGGGAAGCATCATAGTATGCGAACACAGCTTCAGGTCGTCGTCTTCTTGGGGGTCCTTGGCCATAAACTGTGGGGCTCCCGATAAAGGGTTCTGAGGCTGGAACCGGTGCTGTAAAATGTAAACAATGGATTTTGGTTATCTAGCTGGCCACAACACTAAGATATGGCAGTATATGGTATGGAGAATATTACCTGCCACATTTCCCAAGGCTTCAGGCAGATTTTAAAAAATAAAAATAAAAAAATAAATAAAAAACCCTTTACAGCCAAACTCCCAGGGGCAAAGAGCTGGGATGGGGGGGAAATAGGCCACCATCACAAGCTGGTACAACAAAATGTTGTAAATCGTGATAATGGACAAGATCTCATCTCGACTGAAAAGTATGGAAAACCCCGATTATACCTCTAATTTCTTAGAAATATGGCTCCCTTCTATTTCATAAGCAGCATCAATGAAAAAAACCATGGTACGGACATCTAAATTTAGAACAACACACGTACAGTTTTCTCGCATGTTCATTTTAAAACACCATAATGTACAACGATGCGACACACTCTTGGCAAGAAAATAATTGCAGGCTCTCAAGTTCCATCTTTACAATAAAGCCAAAGATCCATGTATTTGTAAAGTAGGTAGAGTTCCTTTTTTTCCAGACCCTCTTTTGTTGCAAATGCATTACAATTTTAAATTCAAAAATGAAAATTTAAAAAAAAACTTTATTTCATTTAACAGAGAAACCTCTAGTGAAGTAGGTCACATCATGCAGAGCTATGTGTAGGCTGTTTCTCCACAGAAGTACATGGAAAAAAGCAAAGAAAGTAGTTGTGGGTGGGGAAGTGGCCACGGAGGAGCCTGGAAAGGTGACCCCTGCTGCATGAAGGGGGGGTCCCCTGGTCTGAGACCACTGAACGCCACAGTGGCATAACAGATAAATATCAGCAAATCCCTTGATTTGCACTGCACATGACAGAGTTGAGGAACTCTGTGCTACATCACCCCGGGTGGGATGTCATGTTCTGGGAAACACGGGGCTGCTGTGAAAATGGAAGCCTTGTGTCACATTTCCCTCTTCTTGCTCTGCAATGTGCACGACAATTTATCTCCTCTCCCAGATCAGTGGTGGTGGTGGAAAGTACCATCGAGTCACAGCTGGCTTATGGCAACCTCGTAGGGTTTTCAAGGCAAGAGACATTCAGAGGTGGTTTGCCACTGCCTGCTTCTGCGTCACGACCCTGGTATTCCTTGGACGGTTCCCATCCATTTACTAATCGACCCTACTTAGCTTCTGGGATCTGACAAGATTGAACTAGCCTGGGCTATCTAGGTCAGCGGTCCCAGATCATTACATGGTGTCATTTCAGACTTCCTGTTCCACTTCCTTGGATGTGAATTGCACACTGTAACAGCGCCAGACCAGAAAGTAAGCTATGCAATAGAGCAGAGGAGCATGAAACTCCGTGGGTAGGATCTAGCCAAGTTTTTTTCACTCGATCTCACCAAATCCCCTGCTTTCTCCAGCCCCTGTCTCACATGCCTTGGTTCCATGTGAGTCCCATTATCTCCACCAGAGGCTTTTTGGTGGTCAAAGGGAACATTCCTCCCTTTTTCGCCAGTGGAAAAACTGGTTGAATTCAGTCCAATATGTAAACGTTCCACTCCCTGGGTTCAGTTTACCGATTCCCTGTTTCCAGTGCACTTGAGAAAGGACATGGTCCTCCTTAACACACACACACACACACACACACTTACATCAAACTTCTGTCGAGCGGAAGAAAACTTTTTCTTCCCTTTGGGCTTGCCGGGTTTTGTTGCAGAACCTCCTGTCCATGGCAAAGAGCCAGCACCTTCTGGAAACAGGAAAGGAGAAAACGGCCAGATTCAGACTCAGCAAGGATATCACGGCATTCATGAAATAAACATTAAAATAAAACTTACACCAAAGAGCTCCTAAACACCCTTCGTGACCCGTTCAACTGAAGGTCAGTTTCTAAGCCAGAGGTTCCTTATGCAGAGGCAGGGTTTTTGTGCCTTTTTTAAAAGATCACGCCAGCAGCCTCCCGGCAGTCTAACAAATCACAGTTTAGGACTTCCCCACACTTGTAATGCCATTTTGATTTTGGCAAGAGTGCCGCCCGAGCAAAATTACAGCACTACTTGCAGATCTCTGACACACAACCATTATTTTTAGACTCTGCTTCCTGGAGAAAAGACTCTCTTTTTACTGTGTGTTTATATGACATACCTCAGCAGGGCCCCGAAAAGATTGTCAGATGTTGAAAACAGCAAACTTTAGAACTGCATGTGGAGAGCTAATAGAGATTCATGAGTAATATGTCAGGCATTTCATTTTTTAGGAGGTAGACAGAAGCTGTCCAGTTTAGAAACTTGAATGCTGTCACCATGGGAAACCAGCACAACTCTATGGAACCCATTCCCTGCATTTCATCTGAACTGTACATAATACAGTCTGTGCCACTGTTGGTACGTCCAAACTGTAGTTGCGCTGCCCTGTAGGGCTACAGTTAGTAGATCCTGTGTCAGTGCTTTGTGTACCTTTAAGAACAGGTGCTGGTAAATTGTATGCTGCAGCAGTATGCCATGTGATACTGTTTTCCCCCTTGTCATTGGATAATGCAAGGCAAAAATAACCAAGTCATCTTCCAGGGCATACGGTTGCTGCTGTAAATTCTCCTATAAAATACCTCCAAGGGAAAATCCAACATGCCAGTGCTGAACCAGCACTCAGCAAGAGATTCAATGCTCTCTGCCTTTCCCACCCCAGCTTAAACAAGGACTTGCGTTTCCTCACTCACTATAGGTTCTAATAACTCAGCATAAACCACGCTTTGCAGATGCTGATGAGTTCAGCTAATCATGTCTTATTCTGCTCCATCCTCGATTAGACTTTAGGTTACTCCAACTCTGCCCATTTTCAATATTTAGGTAAGGACCTCAGCCACTCTAGATGAACAGACTTCCCCTCCAGACTGGCTTCTGTTCAAATGTTTCCCCACTCCTGCCCTTCTGCCGTAGGTAGCTAAGTATAAATCACTGCTATGGACATACACTCGAGGAAGTGAGCTGTGACTCGCCAAAGCTTATGCTGGAACACATCTAGTTAGTCTTTATGGTGCCACCGGACTTCTGGTTTTATTCTGTGCGCAGAGACCAAGGGCCAAAATAGACTTGACAAAGTCCTTGTGGCCGCGACAAGCATCCCCACCACCGCTTTAAAGTCACTATAAAATGCATTCAGGTGGGGTAGCCGTGTTGGTCTGAAGCAGCAGGACAAAGTTTGAGTCCAGTGGGGCAACTTTAAGACCAGCAAAGTTTTATTCAAGGTATCAGCTTTCGTGTGCAAGCACGCTGTATCTGAGGAAGTGTGCGTGCACACAAAAAGCTAATCCTTGAATAAAACTTTGCTGGTCTTAAAGGTGGCCCCACTGGGCTCAAACTTTGTTCTACTATAAAGTGCAGGGAGGGACTGACCGTGATCAGGTCCACAGCACGCTGCCCTTGCCCTCCCCCCATGAAGTGCATGAATGGTGGCACCCCTTCCCCTGCAGCTGTTTCAGCACTTCAAAAGTCGCAGGAGGAAGAACGACGGCTGAGGGGTGACACAGGAGGTGGTGGCTACAAGCCTGGACAGCTTCAAGAGGGAATTAGAGAAGCATATGGAGAGAAGGTCCATCAGTGGCTATTAGCCACAAAGTATAGATAGGAACTCTTGGTCTGGGGCAAGCGATGCTCTGTATTCTTGGTGCTGGGGGGGGGGGGCAACAGTGGGAGGGCTTCTAGTGTCCTGGCCCCACTGGTTGACCTCCTGATGGCCCCTGGTATTTTTGGCCACTGTGTGTTGGACTGGATGGGCCATTGGCCTGATCCAATATTGGCTTCTCTTATGTTCTTAGCAAGAGAATCGGGCCCTCGTGGTATTTCTACATTACTTTTAAATGGCAGCAGGGTCCTTGTAGTGGCCACAAGGACACTGCCCTTTCTAGTTTGGCACCAACCCAGCCACCTCTCTGGACCTGAGAGAGAAAGTGAGTCTCAGCATATTGCAGGGCATGATGGTGGAAAGACATGAAGGAGAGACTGAATTCCCAACACCGTCCAAAGCAACCTAGCAAACGTGCTTGGGTACCACTCAGTTCATATCAATAATGTATGTATTTCCCATTAGTAAGAAGAAGAGGAGATTGGATTTATACCCCACCCTTCACTACCCAAAGGTGTCTCAGAGTGGCTTACAAACTCCTTTCCCTTCCCCTCCCCACGACAGACACCTTGTGAGGTGGGTGTGGCTCAGAGAGCTCTTGACAGAAACTGCTCTTTTTCAAGAACAGCTCTTATCAGAACTAAGGCTTGCCCAAGGTCATCCAGCCAGGTGCAAGTGGAGGAGTGGGGAATCAAACCCGGTTCTCCCAGATTAGAGTCCGCACACTTAACCAACTACACCAAACTGGAGAGAAGGAAAGAAAAAGGTGCCTCGTTTCAGCACTCTTGCATTTGGGTCAAAGAGGCAAAAAGAAGCCAGTCTTTTCTCATGTGAGCTCCAACAGGAATTTCCATCATTCCAGCTTGTGTTACTCCAGTCCTGTTTTGGTCTCTGGGGGATTTTTCACATTTGCCAACAGTAGAAGAACCCACTAGACAGGATCAGGATCAACTCCCATTCTGAACAATTAAGAAACACAATATTGTGGCTGCCGTACTTTTGACACAGCCCAGGCAGGACGATGCTGTTGCAGTTTTCCTGTCCGTGGGCTTCCCGGAGGTAGCCAGTTGGCTACCGTGTGAACAGAACACTGAACTTGATGGGCCTTTGGTCTGATTCAGCGCGCCTCTTCTTATGTGCTTATGACGCAGGGTTTTTCAGAGTTAGAGCTGCAACTTGAGCAGCCCTCAATCACTTAAAACAGGGGTCCCCAACCCCTTTGAGCCTGAGTGCACCTTTGGAATTCTAACATAGGGTGTTGGGCGTAACTACAAAATTGCTGATGCAGGAGACAAAGCCAACCACACTTTGGAAGCTCAAGGGCAGAGGTTAGGAGAGGCAATTTAAAAAATACACTGGGAAAGAGGAGTGGGAAAGAATAAAACCAACACTCTGGTGGCAGCTGCAACTGAATCACAGAATCACAGAGCTGGAAGGGGCCAGACAGGCCATCTAGTCCAACCCGCTGCTCAATGCCTAGGGCAGTGGTGGCAAACCTATGGCACGGGTGAAAGAGGTGGCACTCAGAGCCCTCTCTGTGGGCACGCGTGCCATCGCCCCAGCCAGGCCCAGACCATCATTAAAGTGTCGGATTCTCTGCCAAATAATTTTAAGTAAATGAAAGCATTTGGGATTGCTTTCCTTACTTTGTTTGGATCATCTTAAGTTAATGTGTGAGTTGTTTTTTCTAAAGTAAAACCTCAGTATTCAGGTTAAATGGCCGTGTTGGCACTTTGCGATAAATAAGTGGGTTTTGGGTCGCAGTTTGGGCACTCGGTCTCTAAAAGGTTCGCCATCACTGGCCTAGAGCATGCCTGACAAGTGTTTGTCCGGCCACTGCTTGAGGACTGCCAGTGAGGTACAGCCTGCTTTCCCGTTCTTTACCTTTTCCCCACCTGGCTCTTTGCTACTTAGTCACTCCTTGTTTATTTAAAAGAGGCCAACAGGAGTACATAAAAGATGCTTCTTGAGTTTCAGCTTCTTGAGTTCCAGTTTATTCCTCCTTCATTTCCTTAGTTATTAGGCTTTTTACACAGCTTACACAGCCCTACCAAACCACATGTGTTAAAACACGTAGAATCTGGAACAGCGAGAAAAAGAACTGGGAGGAGCTGTACAAAAGGGCACACGCCTATCTTTGCAGGACTGAACAAGCAGGGAAGCGGCACCTCAGAAAGAGATTTCCAGCTTCCAAAGTCCGTCCTGGCTGCTGCGGAGAGAAATCTCCTCTCTGTCAGGGTTATCTACATTTTGCTTAGCGGCTGCGAGGCGGCCAGAACTGACTAGCCCCAAACAAGGTCCGTTTATCATACGGTACTTGGCAGATGCGACGACGGGCACAACATCAGAGAGGACAAAACAAAGTAGTCAAGGGATACCAGGGTGCCTTGCGAGCTCTGGAGTGTTCCGCTTCCTTATAGGAGTTCCTTGCTTCCATAGTGGCAGAGATAAACTCGAGAACACGGACATAATGTCATCAAAAGGTTACTGCGTGACGTGCATGGCAAGAGCCACACACATGTATTTTGGTCTTCAAGCCACACACAGTAGCCTGCTGTCATCACCATGTACCTAGTATTTAAACATGCCATTTTACAAAGTAACACAGAATTTATGCAGGAGGGCTCTTTATAAAGGGAACAGGGTCACTCACAAGCTGTGAAATTTTTAGTCCTCACTACTTTGTATATCTAATACAGGATACTATTGCACTGTTTCTCCAGTTGTTCTGAAGGGCTCTTTTAGCAAGGGATCAGGGCCGCTGTTAACATCTGTGAACTCTTAAGCAATTTGTATTGCTTTGTTTGGTGCCTATACCCTACTGTGTTGCACTGTTTCTCTGATTTTGTAATCCAGTTTTGTTCCATTGCTTGTTTCTATGTATTATACTATTTTATTAGGCAGGGTATACTGTTTAGAACACAGGGGTGGAAACTAGTCAGAGGGTCAAAAATACTGATTTTACTGACCAAAATTCCAAAACAACCCTGACCAAATACTGACAAAAAACCGACAAATTATTGAACAATTTAATGTCAGCCTACTGATAAGCTAGCGTTTTTAAATATAAAACTAAGACTTCATTAAAAAGGATTATTATCTGGCCTCCACCATCCCCATAGCCAGCCCCATAGTTAGATGTGACCCAGATAAAAGGATTGAACACCTTTTTATTGATTTTTTTTAAGAATAGAGGACAATGTTTTCATTATTGTACAAAATTTAAGGCAAAAAAAGATTCCCTTTTAAAAATAATCACACACTGCAGATAATAAAACAGCAGAACAGCAAAAACATATTAAAAACCAAACATAAAGTAATAATGGTAACAACAAAACATAATTACTGTAAGGTAAGACTTGTCTTTGCTTGTACTTTATCTTTGGTTTTTTGATGAAAAAAGAACCGGCCAGCAGCCTGCCATCCCTGGTGGAGGCCGTGTTGGGCTGGGCACTGGAACACCCTAGACCGATTGTCCGGCGTGATTTCAATGTCCATGCGGACGATGTGGCCTCCACTCAGGTGATGGACCTACTGTCATCCGTGGTAGCGCTGGGACTCTCCCAATATGTAATGACTCCCACTCACTGGGCCGGACACACGCTCGATCTGATCTTCGTGGCGGGGTCACAGTGGACC